GTGCAAGTTGTATTGTTGATGTATATTATGTGTTGTATGATATACAAGAGTATATTATTAAACCTAGTCTTTGTGAAACATATCACATTCATATAATGCTGCAGATATTTGTTTAATATTATATATATTATGCTTAGGTTTCCGAATCAGACGAACAGCCTTTCTAAATCTATGGTAAATATAATAGTGGTTAGACTCTTGGTATGAGTATTATTGTAATTAAATCAATGATTCAGTATAATAGAAATTGGCCATACACTACCTTTTAAAAAATAACAAGGCGTGATGTTTTATTATGATTTTAATCCAAGTATTATTATAAACCAGTTTGATAAATATAATATACGAGTATGAGACGCAATTTGATGGTTTATGCAAATATGTCTCCAAAGTTTATCTCAGGCACAATAACAAACTGTTCATTCAAGATTAATAATGTTGATACTTGTGGATTGTGTTATTTCAACGGTCTATGTTGTGTAAATTGAAGCGACATTCACAACAAATTATACTGAATGAAACAATGAAATCGATATGAATAATACTATTCAAAATGTAAATTATTATTTTTACAACATAATTAAATATTTTATTAATTTAAGCCTTAATAGTGTATATAACTTAACGTTGTTAAAAACACATTTAATTAACCCGTGTAGTTAAACAATTTTTTTCTTCAAATACGAAAATTTGATATATTATGTTCAAATATATTATATAGGCATGTATTTATATTTTATTATTGTAATGTACATATATACATCTCAGATGCATGTATCATCTCACATAGACTACATAGGTATAACATAAATTATAAACTTACAATATGCTTAGTAAAATAATAGTTTTTTTTACACATATAGTGTTTATAATCAAGGGTATTGAAAATACAGTCTATATTTCTAATAGTAGGTACTTTTATTATGTATATTTGTTTTGCTATTTGTACTTTTTTTTATATAAATAATAGGTACATTATGTTGAACTTATATTTTTAAAATATAACTGCTTACAGTTAACAATAATATATTTTATGACAAAAAGTTTCAATAGATTATATATTTGTAACCATTATAATAATATAACCAGAATCTCTTAATGAAAAATCAAAATTAGCATTCAATTTCTTCATAATTTTATAAGGTTCATAATAAAATAATGTAGTTTTTCAACTTTTTTTTAAACTTAAGTTAGAACAAATTGTGAGAAACTTAAGTAGATTTCAAGCTTTGTGGCTAAGAATAACAATTGTCATCAATATTTAAAGGAAAAAGAAAAAAATTTTAAAATGTTGACAAATAACTGAAATAAAACGAAATTGTTTTTAAAATTTTATAATATAAATATTTAGTGAAAATGTGAAGTATACTACAGTTATTTGTTATTGAATAACAAAAAAATAAAGTTGAATCGGTTTTATTAAAAATAAGTATAAATAAATAAATAAATATACCCATTTTCATCAATATTTGAAAAGTTCAATTAATTGAACAAAAATATATTTAAGTACCAACCATATTAAATTATTCATCATTATATAGTAATAAATTGTATTAAAACTTGATTAAATAATAAGTACCTATGTATATAAAAATTGGATTTAAAATCTTTGTATACAAAAACGATTATAACAGTATATGATCGTCGGTTATATGTGGAGCAAAGAATATGTCAACATTTTGATAGGATATTATCAGAGCATTGTTCACAAAAAATGTTTTACAAGTACCTACTTGTATAGAGTTATTGTTTTAAATATAATAAATAATACATTTTAGAAAATTTATTATGTTTTTATTTTTGTAAAACTTTGATTAGTTTGATTAAGTAACAAACATTTTTTGTGATTAAATATGTATGTTAAAAATATAATGAATAAATCAAGTTTTGATTTGATTTTGACACATAATATTAATTTTTCTATAAAGAAAAAATATCTTTATATCAAGTTACATTCATTATTTAAAAACTAGAATAGGACTAAAAAAAGTAATTTATATGACAATTTACTGAAAAAATGTTAATTGTTTTAAAGAGAATAATATAAGTTTATACTCGTAATAATATGCCTCATATTAAATATATGTTTTCATCAGTGTTTAAATATAAGTTTTTAATAAAATATTAAAACTATTTGTGAAACTACGTATGGAATTAAACTTATTAAAAATTAATAAAATAAATTGTTTTATTAAGACAAAATGTCATTGATTTTACAATTGTTATTTATATAGAATATATTATATTATATATTTTAATGATAATATCAATATATTTATTTGTTAAGTCAGATGAAATATAATGACTTTAAAATGAAGATTTTAAAGCCATTAATTTCAACCAACTATTTTAACATTATCTTTGTTTATGTGAGGTGCTAAAGTAATTTTTCAAAGATTATGAAATAACTAGTTACATTTTTCTAGGCTAAAAAATGTAATTAATTTACGTAAAAATAATATTTTTCAATGTTTATTAAATTTATGAAATGGTATATGCATAAATAATTAACATATTTTTTTGTACGCCAACGCAGCTATATAAATATTCAATAAGATATTTATATAGGTAAATTTTTACTGTGTACATGTTAACAACAAATTTACAAAACGGAATAAAACTTTTCAAACGAAATATTCAATAGAGATGCTTATACATCAATTTTTGCAACAGTTATATATATATTTAATACTAGTGACTGATATTATAAACGAGTTTCCTTTTTTTCTAGGAACCTATTTTAAATGTCAAAAAACTATACGAAAGAAAGTTGAAATGAATACCTGAACATTTCTAAACTTGTCTTTACAATCTTATAACATTTGAATACTTTATTGTAGCGTGAATAGTTTCCATACTATATTTTGTGAAGATACATCAGAACAACAATTTTAAGCGGTTCTGACGGACGCTTTGAAATTCCTACATACATACTACATGAAAACTATGTATACAAAAGTATGAAATGTTAGGGTTTATATTTTGTTTATCATTATCACGCGATTTTACATCAATATATTTATATACATATAGGTAAGGTACCTAACACTACGTTTTTGTAAATGTTTTTTTAATGAATTGATTATGATAATATCACTATATTTTTTAATGAAATAATGAAAATATATTTATTATGCATTGAACATTGTTTTAATATTTGTATCAATTATTACTTTTGTCTTTGTTAGATAAAATAATATGTTCAGATTTCTTCAAAATCAGCTTATTCTCTCTGCTCTTAGATTAACCATAGAAATTAAACACATTATCAATGATTCGACGTTTCTCTTTACTTTATATCGTTAATAATAAACTTTCGATTATTTTGACTAGTTTAAAGACAGAAAGTGAAATAGTACGATTAATCACCGTATTTACTGTCAAAGTTAGTTTAAGATGTGGTTTGATTACCTTACCTCTCAATTCTCTGTCAATTTCAAAAATAGATGGATAAATGAAAAAAAATTAACCCGGTCAGTGGCATTTAATCAATACATTAATAATTCTGAATAAAATAAAGTTCTATCGATAGATTCTGATCATTCCAACGAATATATTTGTATTCTAATTGTATATTATGTATATTTATATTTATTCATTTTGTGTCTGCCATAAGATTTTTTAGCATGTTTCAATTTTCTTTGTGGACTGTTTTTCGATTATCAAATCAAAACTTTTATTCTACTCTTTTGGATTAGTTAAAAAAAAAGAAATAGTTTTCAGTATTTTTTAAAATAATTAAGAACAACTATCGAAAAAACAGCAAAAAAATAGGAATATTCACACAACTCTATTTTTTAACAAAATCAAATTTGTAATAATTAAAAAACAATCATGGTAGGAATATGAAATCAACAAGAATTTATATTAGATTTTTTTATATACTGTAATTAATTTTAAAAAAATTTGGGTAATTTTAGAATATTTATAGATATGAAATCATGAGAATTTTCACTTTTTTCACTATTTATGATAATAAGGCTTATACAAGGTCAAAAACCTTAGACATATTGTAATAAATGGTTCCTCATAAATTCTTTAAACAGCAGTTAAAACATATTAAAAATATGCGAGTCACAATTTTTTTTTTAAAGTAATTTAAAGAAAAATTTTAATAAAATCCGTGTAAACAATAATGAACAATTTCAACTTTACTTAACTATTTCTAGGTAGAAGTTGACGAAGCCGTCATCAGGCATACATGTGTATAATATACATATTACTATAACGATATAAGTCTAAACATCTCAGTTTTTAATTTTAGTAAACTTATTATGATTAATGTCTGGATCTCATAATCTAGACCAGTTTTCTTTATTTGACTATTTTGTTTAAGAAAATAACTTCTAATCATAAATATTATACAGGTTTGACAAAAAGTTGATATTTTGATATACCCCTAGCTTTAGACAATTTAATAAAAATACTCAGATTTTAATTTTAGAACATTTTTTTTTAAATTATCACAATGAAAATATTATATTTTAATCATGTGACAAATACATCTTAACATACTTTCGTCATATTTTATAATCATTTTGCAAATGCATCGTGAACTCATTTTAAATACATTTATTGATATCACATTTAAATAGTAAAATTATTTTAGTGTTCACTAAATAAAATGTTTGGATTATTTCAATTTAAATATCTAATTTAGTATTTTCAAAACCCCATAGGTGGTAATGATAATATTATATTATTACGTTGGTAAATCTTTTATTGCTTGTTTATTACTATTTGAATATTGACCATTGTCCATTAGGCTGTTTTTGTGAATATAAGAGAGTGGGTAATGAGTATATTACCACAATCTGTCTTTAAAGTATATTTTATAATATGCGCGGAAATTAAAACGATTAGATATAAGAACATGAAAAAAAATAATAGGCCGTTTCCCGATAAGAATATCTAAATTAATGTTGTGGGAGTTAACACAAAGGTCAGATATGTTTATATATTTATGTATAATATGGATCATAGTTATGGCAAACAAATCATTCACTTTGGTCACGCGTCGTAGATGGTCGTCGTCTCGACTAGTGCGCATTTTTCGAAAACCGTTTTAATATTAATATCGTTGTTTTGTTTTAAGTATAAACACCGTTGTATTAATTAATTTTCGCAAGTACATCATGAGACCGTCGGTCATCGTAGCGGACTATCTGTCCTCTAACGGTGTAACAATCATGTTACTAGTATTGGAAATTAAATAACGTCGTCCGGGGTTTCGTGAAAAACTGGGCGTCAGAGACAACATTATTCACAAAAAAACAAAAAAAAAAAAAATAAAATAAAAAATAATAATAATTTGCACACATAACGCAGCTTCTAACGCAATTAAATACAATAGTTACGTTACAGAATCGGCGGGGAAAAGACAACTACCATTGACGGAAACTCTAAAAATTCATCGCGGTAGATTTATAATACCTATAAAAATATGCGTTTCACTTTAAAACAAATGTTCTGCTTTATTTGTTTTGCAGGAACCATCATCAGAGCTAAGCCGAAAATCGTAAATACATAATGAGAATTTTGACGATCGCCTGGATTTTGGTGGCGGTCACGTGGTGCTGTGACAGCGCCGTTATCTATGAGCCGATGGTTCAAAACACCCGTTACTACGAACCTAGAATTCAGGACTTGGAGCTTCTTGACGTAAGTCCGCTTTCGTATTTAATAACGCTGAAGCAATGATTATTGTTTGCACAACGGCTACAGTTATTTTAAATAAAATTTTAAAAAAATTCTCGACAGCAGCAGAAATTGTTTAAAATAGGTAAATAAATGTTAGTATGGTATAATATATTTAGGCATACCTACATACGTAATAATGCATATAGGTACCGATACCCGTAAAAAAGTTCAGTATAATATTATATTATCATCTTAAACGAGTTTATTTTCGAACGAGGTAACGATAAATTGTTTGAAATATAAGTATAACCTTTGTAAATTCATCATTCAGTTTTTTCATTTTGACGTGTTGATTCGAAATGATTTATCTTTCTACACTGATAAGGATCAACTATCAATACTGCTTTTTTTTTTTTTTTTACTAGAAAAATCTATAGAGGTTTTGCTTTTTTTATTTATTGCATAGTACGTACAACGAACTGAATCTATTTTGAACTACACTCAATAATAATCCAATGAGAAAAGTTATCTGACTTAAAAACAACACTTCGAAATGGGTATTCTTGCCTCATTCACTAAGTCTTATATGGTTTCAGCATACAAGTTTCTAAGCTTGGTCATATTAGATATATGAAAAAATAAGATATACCTACCTACTTAAATGTATTCTCAAATCCTAAAGGAGTAAAGTTTGGCTATATGAGCTAACGAAAGATTTATTTAAGTACCACTTGAGTTCATTAGAAATACACATTCGAGTTCATTTTGATTTTCTGCTTTAATTGTTATAAATATTAACAGTTCGTATTCAACTGAAATTAATGAAAGTTAATAAATGTCTATAACAGTAAAAATGTGTCTTGAAAAGTTAGCAAAGTCTACTAACGAATATTGAAATAATATCAATAAAATCATTATTAAATTAAAAATACATTTTCACATAGTTCTATTCATGCACACACACACACACACACACACACACACACACACACACACATATATATATGAAAATAGGATATACATACGTTGTATTTGATTATTCAACCAAGTGTATATTAAATCATTGAAAATATAATAATACAAGAATGTGTAACATACTAATGTTTAGTTGGTAACGAATTATACGTATATATAAATATTTTTTATGATAAAAGAGGTACCTACTAAGTCAATATATTTATTATACAATCTTAATATTTTTTTAAATATCTCTAACTACTTTGTTAATATTCATTTAAAGAAGTTATTTATTAATGTAGATAGCTTTACACAAATGTTAAACTTAACGCGTAAAATACAGATAAATTAAATGTATGTCTAAAATACTTTTATGCTCTTGAGTCCATCTAATTATATAACTCTTAAAAACAAATAAATTTTACGACAATACTAAAGAAACAGAATAAATTATCTTAGTTACAATTCAATTTATTAAAAACCCATAAAGGGTATTGTAAATAATATTGTATAATAAAGTATGTTTTTTTAATTATGCATACAAGAATAACTCCAAAATAGGTATCTATGTTGTTTTCAGATTAAAAAAATAAATTAATTAATAATATGTTATTTAAACTTTAAATTACATATTAAAACTTAAGATTAAATGGTTATTTAACATTTTTAGTTACATGTATATTTTGAATTTTCTACTACAAGCCATTTTAATAACATAAAATGTACATTGTATTCTATTTGAATAGATAATCATATTTAATTTAGATTCGGATAAAGTTAATTTTTTTCCAATAACTTAATAAAAATAATAAAAAACTTTCGATTGGTGTGTACTTAATAGTTAGTACTTACTATAATAAAGTAGTAAATTTAAAATCCACTCTCAGTGTAAATTGTAAAATCAGAGTTCTAGATAATTACAAATCCACTTATATACATAAACTATACTTTTTAATTAAAACTATTCAGGGCTCTTTATTCAACTAATTTCATTGGTTTCTGCTGTTACTTGAATTAATTAACGTTGACACTTTCGAACAGTTGAATTCGATATCTTTTATTTAAACTGTCTGTTATAACATAATATGGTTGAGCTACACAAACAGATGCATTTCTGTCATTGATCATGCTTGTGTATATCATAAAACTACGTACTTCTAAATTGTAACTTCACTGCTATTTTTATTATTTGTGATAAACAATAATAATTCAATTTTTTTTTTCATAAATAAATTTATTTAGCGGAATTAATGAAAGGAAAAAAACGATTAATTCATTTATATTATGTAATTATACTTTTTTTTTTTTTTTTGTACAAATATTACGATTATTTGATCAACTTTAAGTCTTCTGTGTTTTCTGAGCAAACCCAAATTAAGCCATTGTAAGGTTCTGGATCCTTTTCAAGAAAGATTTAAGGATGGTAGAAGGATTTATTTTTAATTATTGTTATATGCATAACAAAATGCAATATGTATTGTTATGATTTTTTTTTTTTATTAATTTTACATTTTAAAATTATTTAACCATTTCATCGTAGTTTTTGTCTGCAAAACATTATATTCAGATAAACGTAGATAAATTTTCTTGCATGCCAGTGAAGCATATTTATATTGACAAACGACACGCGCGATCGACTTTGATGACGAGATAACGGGCTTGGATTATGGTTAGTCATAAATATGTATAAAAATAGATTTTTATTGATCTAAAAATTATATTGATAATAAGTTATTATTCTTTGTGTAAAATTTCTCTACAAACGAAAAGAATATTTATTGAGAATTATTTTCTTATACTATGAATTTAATATGCATAAACTAATATTTTACTTTATTTTACTGCTATAAAAAAATCTGTATTAAAATCCAAAAGATTAAACAAATAACAAGATTTAAGGTTTGTGGGCTATAAACCTACTTAACCCACACTTATTTTCAAGGAAGTTTTATGAAAGAAAATCTGACAAAATACGTATTTTGTCCAACGTACAATTATCTCTCTGAATACGATTATTACTAATGTTTAAAGTCACAGTACTACGTACATACTAATATATATCCAACAACAATCTGCATGGAATAATAAAATGTGTGTATACCTTACACCCATTATATTATACTGCATTGCAGCGGTGGCGTTTGGCTCTTGGGATATATAAAATTGTGACTTTTTCCTTTATGTACCGGAACGGCGTGTAGATTGCGAAATTAAGACAAATGTCTTCAATAGTACGCAGGTAATTTGAACGAGATAACCATAAAACTAGTGTACGCCGTCGTCTTACATGTAAATATATGTGTTATAAACGCGATAATAATTTTCTTTGGACAAGAATGAGTTTGAAGACTTCTATGCAACCGCGAAAAGTATACACGTGTGGTAGAAATAGTGCATTTATTAAACAGATAACATGTAGTGTAACAGACAACGTCAGATATAAACGTATTACCATATACTTACCAACGCTTATAACTTATATATAAATATATTATATATATATATACATTATATATAGTCTCGGGATAAAAAAAATAACACAAGACTTCAAAAAAACACTATTCTTAAAACGACGTTTCAAATAATGGCAATATAAACACGCGGTGACAATATATCGTTGACTTGGGTACATGCGATATACGATGCTGCTATATAATATACAAACATTGGACGACAAATCATTGGTTCATTGGAATTCGATATAGGTAGGTAGGTGTATATATCGTTTATTTTTGTCGTTTAGTACGACATTTCGATTCGAAATACTCGGTATACCATGACGTGCGAACGGTATGCCCCTTTTATTTATAATTTAAATAATGAACGGCCGAGATAAAATATTATATGCCACGCCATATCGTAATTTTATATTTATCTGTATTAATATACATAGTTCAAAGTGAAACTATAATTTTTATGATTTACAAGTGGCCAGGGTTAGATGTTGTAATATTTTGTATAGTGTTCACGTAAAAATACTCTAAAAATATTAATGTTAAAGCACTTTAAAACTCAGGGGACTTAAAATGTATTTAGCCAGTGTTCAATGACGTGTTAAAACTATAGCCTATCTATAATATTATACGCGTATGAAAACGCGTAATTTGTGCACATCGGTTTGAATAATAATCTACAAAACTATATCGCCCGTTAAAACTTAAGTACTCGACTTGACAATTCGTAAATTATAGTGCTAGAAGCTTAAAATGTTTCATGTGAAATAAAATTATGAAATATTGGTTTTTTCGGCCACACTAATAAATATCAAAGTTTTACTCTTCTTTATACATAAACTTTGTTTTTTATAAATTTGTTATTGTATTCAACTATATTAGCTGTTTTAAATAATACAAAGTAATTTACGGTTAGAATTTATTATAATAATATACAACATAACAGATAGATGGAATTGCTATATTGTTTGTTACTTAATTAGGACTTGTATTTGAAAAACAATTTTGTTATATGTCATTTACAATTAAAACATTATACAAATTTTGTGTTTATCATTATTCAGAATTTAAATGTTATTCAACTTTTGCGTTTAGCGTTATTCAGAATTAAAATTTTTTATATATTTTATAAATTATAACTGTTAAATAATTGGAAATTAATCATTTAATTTAAAGATATACCTACTAACTAACGTTTTGCGTTTTGTTTTGTGTTATTTAATTATTTATGTTTATCGTTTTCCGTTATAATTACATTTATAAATTTCAATCGTTTTTTGTCAAATATAACGTTATAATTATAAAGTCATTATAATATTTTTAAGCCCTGTACTTAACACGTTCACTGCAGATGACGCTAATTGGCGTCATTCGCGACTTTATTTTCAATGCACTATAACTTAGTCAGCGTTATGATTAAATAAATAATATTTTGTCAGCTTTATCTTTGAATGTTACTTAATATGTACGTGCTAACAGCACGTCAATATTTCTATTTTTAGTTAGTAAATTATTCAATCTATTTTGGGAAACTTCAATATTGTTATTTCATTAAAATATATTATTTTAATAGTCATTTTGCCATCGTTGATTGTTGATGATAAACGTATGAACGTACATATATTTATTTTATTGTTTTTATACATATTAGTATGGTAAATATTATGGAATAAATATTTTTTTTCCATAACGTTTTGTTTTTCATTTTAAATCAATCTGGATCAATAGCACACGTTTGTATTCGTGTTTTATTATAGGTATTTAATAATAATCGTGTATGATATTAGTGTGATAAATTATTGATTTTGTTATACAATTTCGTTTACTTTCGCTGTGTTTATATATATATATATATATATATATATATATGGATAATGCATTGGATGAACCCGGTCCATCCTGACCCAAACGAATATGTAGGAATCGTAATTATCAACAGAAAATTAAGCATATAATTTTTAATCTTGATAGGGATGAGAATAATGATCTAACTAATTTTGGTAGTGAGTATGAGTGTGAAAATGTCGAAGATGATTTGTCAGATGATTTAGAGAGTGAACATAAAACCATAGATACTACATAAAGAGATAATTCTCAATCAACATATATTAATAATGGTGAGTTAGGCTTTAATTGGCAAGAAGAAGAATTTAATAAGTCTAATTTTTCTTTTACAAAACAAAACTAATTGTTAGTTTCAATGGAAGACAAACAAAATCCTATAGATTTTTTTTTTTGCTTTTTAATGACAATTTTATAAATTTATTAGTTCATGAAATCAATAATTATACTGAAACCGAGTTTTTACATGTTGGTATTACGCCAAATTCTCGTATATCTGCATAAAAATCAATAGATAACGAAGAAATGTTGAAATGCATTGAATTAATTATTCACACTAGTATCATACAAATAAGCAAATTAAATAACTATTAGAAGACACACCACCTTTTAAACATTTCCTGTTTCTCGAACTATGTGAGATTTTTAAATTTAATGAGATGTTTTCATTTTGCTCCAAATATTGAAGCTAATAATTAAAACTTACTTGATGATCGCTTATACAAAATAAAACCATTAATTACATATTTAAATAACAAAATTTAATGTGTTTTATGGTACTTATACTAAGTTCTTTTATAAATTATAAGGTAATAATTGAAACGTTTTGATAAAATTAATGAACATTGAATATTTGAATGTGTACCGTGTTTCTATTATATTTTCTTATATAATGATAACATATTAAATATTATAATATTTTATATTTTACAATAATTCATGTGAAAAATTTACAAAGTTATATCCATAGGTCAAAAGTAAAAATAGATTGTTTATAGATAAATAATACATTCAGTCATATTTGAATATTACTTTAGTTAATTTTAGATATCATAGTTATTTAATGTGTTGCCATTTACCAATAATTATATATAATTTAACCGTCTTATATAACACTTATACAATTATTAACTATCGATAATATTATATTGATATAAGATATTATTAGATAAAAACATAATATGAAATGTAATTGTGTAATTATATATGTAGCAATTATATTTTACATATAATTTAATAAAAACAAAAAACATAATTCATTAAATCTGTTAATGAACACCTAAATATTACTATAAAGATAAAGACATTTCTAACAGTTGAAATACCTATTTAAAAATGTTATTTTTTGTAACATTTTCAAACACTATTTTATCATGTGAACTGATGTATAATTATTCAGTAATCATACATAAGCCAATTAGAATTAAACAATCACAGAAGTTTAGAATATGAAATGTACAACATAATGTAACATAAAATGATTATTCAGTAGTCAATATAGCATTTGTACAATATTTTAACTAAACTTGTTGTTATTCCGTTAATATTTTTTTATTTCATTTTCGATTTAAAAGTTTTAGTTCGTAGAAAAAATTAATTTTTTTCAGAAATTGTCCGGCCAGGATAACTAAATCTTACTAGGAGGTTTTGATAAAGACAATAAACGCAGTAAATCTTTAACCTAAACAAACAAAAAATTAAAAAATTAAAAATGAGGTTCCAATCGGCATACCTATATCTGTGTTTATTTTATTTCGTTCGATAGCAGTCACATTCAATATATTTTACAACGCTTTGATGGACAAAATCATTAAATATAGTATTATACTTTGTAGTGCATACAATATTCAGTAGGTAATAATAAATTTAATAATTTTTCGTTTTTTTCAATAGAAAAACTTTTTTGATATGGCTTCGATCGAAAAGAGAAACGGTGCAATACAAGGAGAATCACCGAGGAGCCGTCCTAGTTTGTCTATCGTCAACTCTTTAGACGTGCTCCGACAAAAATTAATGTATGAGGTTGCACGACGACACGTAGATGAGAACCAGAAAGTGCTGACGCAAAACCACGAGATACTGAAGAACCTCGGAAAGCGGTCATTGTTTCCTTTTCTCGAAGTACCACGGAGGTACAACGTATTACGTATATAATACTACATCGAGTTCTTCTTATTATTTTTTTGAAACAGATTTATTGGAGTATGCTATTAAAGTTTTCATTGTTTATTTAATTCATTTAAATCATTTTTTAAACATGGCTGTAGCTAATAGAATTTAAAAATATATCTACATAAATATTGATTTATAGATTCAAGTGTCTATATTATTTTCTCTGTCTTTTATTTGGGTTTTCTTTAAATACAAGACAAATGATATACGATCTATTTTATACTTTCGAATTTAGGAGTTCTCTTACTTAATAATTACATTTTTTTTACAGGTTTTAAAGGAAACCATTTGGACTTCGATGGTTTAACAGCGTTATTATTTATAAATATTTTATTTAAAATGCAATATAATTATTTTATTTTGTTGACATTACGTAATATTGTAGACAGATGAATCATTGTTATTTTGTTTTCAATTTATATATTATAATTTGTATTCCAAGTATATAAAATATATCTAGTATAAATATATTATGTCGTATATTATGCTGTACATTAAAAAAACTCAATCCACGAACATTATTCACCATAATAATATTATACATACTTGTTCCCAAAAAAAAAACTTTCAGTATTCTATATTTAATTTAGTTTCTTTGTACTTTTTATTTATTATTATTACTTTCTAGTTTTTGATTAATCATCAAATAATTAGAGCATCATAAAGTGATTTAATACCTGTTATTTTTTAATAAAAATATATTATTATACTACAGGACACATCGTATTAATTTTTTCTTTTTTAATTGAATATACACAATATTTTATTAGTAATTAATAATATGTTATACATATACTATGGTCTATTTTCTGTTAAATTTTTGGTATTTTAGTAACCTCGGACAACAACCAATTTTTAATAATTGTTTTTGGACAATAAACAACTGTATACTTCTACTGTTTAATATGCTGTATTAATTTACTGCATTTGTAACGCCCGTCCACTGCACCGAAGCTCCTTCCCACCTGGCGAGGAAAAACAAAATAATATTACTAATCATCATCAGTCAATAGCGGTTATATGGTTCATGGGGTGGGGAAGTTATGAGTGGATCATCTCTTCCCTTAACAATAACCATCATCCATCATTGTCATTAAATCATAAAACATATATTATTATGTTAACTATATTATTCTACTCTGCCCGGGTTCAAATTAATCTATATTTCTATCGATTATCGTTTTGCTCTAGTTGAAATATATAATATAAACACAATTACATTAAAATGATTAATTTTATGATTTTCCACTTATTAATTTTGGATTTATTTTTCATGTAAACACAAACAACAAGTGACAGATTTAATGAATGCTTAAGAGGACGCCACAACAGCATGTGATGTCTCCGTCTTGCATACATACAATGTGGGGTAAATTTATTTAATTAATTCTATAATTAACACTATGAAATAGATTCTGCTGAACAAAATTTTACTGTTATATGTATGTAAGTTGGATATTGCGCATGTGGACGCTTCCTCTTAAAAACCGACGTTCATCTAATTTTATTAAGATTAGGATTTGTCTTTATGTGTTTACATCTGTTAAAAATATGTCCAGTAGCTATTAAGATAGTACAAATATCGTAATTACAAATCATAAAATTAATTATTGAATAATTTGTGTTCATAAGCATTTGACTTAAAGATTTATTTATTTTTTCAAAATAAATTTGTGAAAAAATTGTATAGGTATATTATGCAATATCTCTACTAATTATAACAGTAATATAATCTGTAAACAATGGCAATCATTTAAATAAACAAAAAGCATTCAGTTTTCGTGAACCCAAACTCGATTCCACTCTAAAGCAACCTGTAGGAGTTAAAAAAATAAGCTACAAACATCCTTCGAATCTCAAAAAATCTATTGATATGAATTTTATTAAAAATGGCCTAGCAGTTTATAAATCCGTAGAAGATAAACAAAAAAAAAAATTTTAATTTGCATGTAAAAATATATAAATATTAATAATTATGATAATTTATGAACTGTATAGCACTTAAAATTATTTCTCACACACCTAACCTATCAATAAAAAATAAATATACATGTATATATTTGACTCCTGTAATCAGAATGTGTTGGTAAGTATATGTATTGGTTTAATTTGTTACGATTAAAGAAAAATAAACTACAACAATATATTACTCACTTAGTATGTATAAGACATTCGACCAATAGTAGAAGTGACGTGGTGTTGTTAATGTCGTCCGTGGTCTTCATCATCCGTGTTTGTTCGTTCGGGTGCGATCGCGTATCTACCGTCGCGTGGTTCTCGCTACCGCTACAAGAATAGTGAGTCAATGGAAATCTGTAAAAATTATGTAAAAGTAATACGTAAAAATGTAATAATATTAAGAAAAATAATTTCGACAAAGTCGTTATGACTCAAAAATCAGTAGAAGTTATAAGATTTATACAATACTTCTGCTATACTTTATACGTATATTTGGCTGTATTATGAAAAGTAAACAGACAAATACTGAAAAAATTTAAAAAATAAACCGTCATAATAATATTCGAATATCAATAATCGACTACCGGGTATTTATTTTTTGTTCTTGTTTCGAATAAACCCTGTATACAACCTGACATAGATTTATTGCCATGTGTTTTATTAAATATGTAATAATTTCCAGTTTCCAATTTCGTTTTTACTTTCAAATAGTAATCTATACGTGCATAATAATAAAGGCATAATAAAATTATATAAATAAATCAAGCTAGTGGGCGTAATTATAATAGGTTTTGACCCTAAGTTCAGGGTTCTAGAACTTAAATTTTTTAGCGTGAGTTATATAAAATATAATAAAAACTATTGATCTATTGAAAATGTTGTCGAAATACTATTTACAATTTACATCACACATAACATAGATATTATTATATACTCATTAGGAACAAAACTTAAGCAAAAAAAAATAATAATAACAATAATAATTGCAACACAAAACAAACGTTTTATCAGTTGAATGAATGTCAAACATTATTTTGATATGAAGTAATGGTAATGGCCAGTTAGTTTAGTCAAAATGGTGATGAAAACTGTGTTGTAAGTATTTGATGCTATCATTAATGATAAATTATAATAGTAAGTACCTTTACTATTTACCAATCATACAACCTATAACAATACGTATTTATCAAGTTCACGTTTTTTACAATTGCTTAATTATTTACATATTATTTTAAATTAGTTTCTTATCTGTATTATAGATACTATTATTTAATATACGTACTAATGTACTGTATTATTGCATTAACTATTTCTGTTTCATAACTTATCATTCGACTGCACATCAAAGTCACAGACTAACTGACCAAATTTTATTTTCATTCGAAAAAAACAATAATACACGGAGGTATTTTTCGATGTGGCCCAGGCATTTGACTAACATGATGGTCTATTCTTTAAAATTAAATTATTCTTACTTAAAATGTTTAAATGTTATTTGATAATTCGTTCATAATTTAAATACCGTTTTTATATAACTTGATATATGGTATTTCAGTATCGTCATACAACCAAATTAAAGATGGAGTTTTTCAATATAGCAACCTTCTCCCGATTTATGCAATATTTATACAGCTAACATTCCTAAAACCTCTAATACTTATATGGCTATTTATATAGATGAAATCGCAATTTTTTATCTAAGAATGATCTTGTAAAAATTGTGAAATTTCTTCAAACACGTTTAAATTTAATTGATATGTAGTCATCCAAGTGGGGAATTAAGATTAACCAAAATAAATCAATAGATCTGCCATTCACGTTAAAAAAATCTATACCCTTTCTTCTCTATTTTCAAGGAAAACCAGTACTAATACCCTCAAAAATAAAATACCTCGGTGTCATACTTGATAAAAGATTGACTTGGGGTCATCACATCAAATCTAAAAATAGAATCCTCAATAGTCGTCTTCATTGACTAAACAATTTTTAAATTAAAATTAGTTTTCCACACAAAAATTACAATCTATAAACCCTTATTAGAACCTATTTAGACTTAAGCAATCTAAATTTTGAGATATACAAAACTGTCCCAAATACATACTCTACAATTTTTCTATCCGTTATCCTACGTATTATTTTCGTCTGCACCTCGATACGTATCCAATTTTATACTTCGAAATTATTTTAACCGTTAATCATTCAATAAATATCGACACCATATTTTTCTTAAGACGACATGAGAAATTTCAAGGTGATTTCTAAGTGAGTCAGATGCAAGTTCAGTAATTAAAGGTTTAAAGCGAGTCTATAATTTAGAATTAATTTTTTTTATTATGTTTGGTGGGTAATTGATTTACCGGTTCTATTTTTACTAACCACTATAACAAATTTACAAAAAAAAAATTAACGTTGGGTTCTATCACTAGAGAGTTTCCCTTTTTATGTTTATCGTTGTGTATTTATTTTCTATTTAATATATATCTAACTTACTACTCGTAATAAAATAATAATGAATATTATTTTTTAACTAAACGTCTGTTAATTAACTTTCTTAGTATAATATTCTTTTATATTTTAGTTTAAAACTTATAATTTATGCTTACTTATAATAAATTAATCATTTTCAAATACATAAATGATAATATAGTTTATATTTGTAACGAACTCAAAAAGTTTAAAAAAATGTTTTATAATATTATATTTTTCTAAAATATTCTACCAATCTCAAAATTATTTTGGCTGACATTGGTTAGCTCAATAAAATGTTGTACATTTAATTGCTTATATAGAGTTGAAATAGTTGAATATAACCTATTTTTAGTCAAATATTTTTAGAATGCTATCATTGAACGTAGAATTGCTAAGAAATCTCAAGTTTAATATTTGAAATTTATTGAATGTCATCTTGTCGAACAAAATTTAATGTGTAATATGTAGTACGATTTTTATTCTATATCAGTTAATATCTTTTGTACAAATTGTTTATATGGCCACTGACATTAGTTATCTCATTATAGTATTCTTCACCACATTTAATAGTATTAATATCAAGTTTTAATAAAACATTTTATTTTTTAAATGATCTCAAAATGAAGTTAAAATGGCTTTAATAATATTTACTATATTTAAATTTTTTTTTTACGATTCAAAAAAGCATTTAATCCAATATTATCCATTGACAAAATTGATTTGCATGTTGTTGTTAAAAAAAGATATGTATAAAAAAAAATTCTGTATTGCTACATATATTAATATAATATAGGCGTAGGTATTGATAATTTTTATTTATTTCATGGAGTGATCTGTGCTCAATACAATACTACCGTAGTACCACAATTGTATTAGACACATCGAGTAGATGCAAAAAAAAAAATTATAAAAATAAAATTTCGATAGGTGAAAATTAAAATATTCAGAGCTTATTTTTTTTACTTAGTATTTAATTATTTTAATTATTATAAATTAGAAAAAAAAATGATACTAATGAATAATTAGTGTTATTTTTATTGAATAATAGTTTTTTTTATGTCTTATTGCTATGTTTATGAAAACAAAATATAAGTTATAATAGAATACTTTGTATATTTATAGCTACGCGGTTGCTTCTACGTATATTTTATTCAATTTTTATTTACCAACTAAAATAATTCATATGAAAGGATTAAATATTATTGCATTTAATTTAATTGTAGTTCAGTAAGCCTTTATATATTATACAGATATACAAATATAGCACTTATAATCATTTATATATTGATATTATTAAATTTTTTCATGTATATATTATATTTTGTTTATACATTATTTATTGTTGATATTGGTGTAGTAAAATTACAAGTGAAATATTTTTATAAGTAATTATAAAAAAAAAAGTATTGATCTATACCTTCGTTCAGCTAAATGATTTCTCAACAGTTCCCTATTAGTGTTGAAGAGTATGCCGTAATGACCTTTAGCGCAAGTTATCCAAATCGGATAGGACGGCGTTTTTAATCGAGAACCTGGTATCTGTGTGACTTGTACTGGTGTAGATGTTTCTTCGTAGTGAACCAATAGACCCACTTCACTTCTGGCCAATATTCCGTAATGTGGTATAGCCTGGAAACAAATAAATTCAAGTAATTTAACTTTACAAAGATTCGTCTTTGTTATAATAATAAACTATAGCTCACATAATGTTGTTCGTCACCAATATTCACAATACCATTATGTAAATTAGGAGTAGCTCTACCAGTAAGCATCAGCGTTACGATGCATATTGACCCTTCTTCAGCACTTGATATAAGATACACTTTTTCATCCATTAAATCTGATACGATCCTATCATAAAGATTAAAGAATATAAATCAAAGATTGAAAAATACAAATGTTAAATAATGAAAACAGATTTGTAGAATAATTATCAAGACAAGACAAACAAATTATTTATTAGTATTATCATAAAATTTAGGAGGTTAAATTGAATTTAGAAAAGTTTAAAAATATATAAACCATAATATTTAAGGTTTTTTTAGTTATATTAAGAAGTAATTTAACGATTAAAGTTTATTTTGTTATGAGATTATGCAACCTTAAGACAACAATATTTAAATAACCTAAGAAAAAATAAAATATTTTATCATCGTTTTATTATTTTTAATTATTATCATTGTAGTTTTTACTATAAAAATTTGAAAAAGTGTATTAATTTACCAATATATACTTATAAGACAAAATATTTACTTAGTAAAAAATAAGTAAAAATTTACTGGTCGAATTAAATAAATAACTGTTAAAATAAATAAATTTAAGTATTAGTACTGTATAATATAATATTATTTGTTTAAAAAAATAAATATTTACACTATTCAATATTTAACATAAATAAATAAACATTTATTTTAAGTATTTAAAAATTATACTATATGGGAAAAATACGTATTTCACTGTCTTTTATAATCAGTTCTGTGCAAGAGTTGAAACATGGTTATAAATATTATATTATAAATATCGGAAGAATTAATAATATATTATAAGCTTTAATCTTGTAAAAATATTTAAAATTCATATTTGTTATGTTAATAACATATGGGCTTGCTATAGAAAATTAGTCTTCTTTAATACTATAATAAATACTATAAAAAGTTATTTATTTATTAAAAGAATCAATATTTCACTCATTTTAGGTTATTGATAACATTTATAAGCATCTACATTATGAAATTTATAATTAAAAAAAAACTGCATTTGAGTGAATTTAAATGACAATATTACAGCAAAAATATAATAAACTCTAAATTGAAAATAACAAAATATATTGTTTTCTAAAAAATTTTTAGTTTTTTTTCCTTTTCTAAAATATGTAAAATGAATATTTATTGCTGAGCAAAAACTAAGACCTCATTAAATCAATGTGGTCCAATTCCAGCCAAGTTTTTTAGGTATTCACTAAGAATCTATATACTGTAAAATATCGGTTGTGATTTATAATTAAAGTATTGTAAAAAAAATATAAACAACAATACAATTAAATATGATATTAAGTTATAGTTTTAGCAAAATTATTAAATGCATTTTAATTTTATAATCAACTTTGATTGCAGAACAATTAATTTATATATACATACATAAATATAATAAACTAATTAAAAATACAATTTAATTACATCATATAATAATTAATAAGGTATAATATCATATATTTTTTATACGTTTTTGTGATTTTAACTTGATAATTTTAGAAACTCCTTTTCTCTTATACAAATATATTAAAGAAAAATCGATGTAAAAAGTATTCCTTTAAATGAAATTATATAGTATTATTCAGTTGAAAAAGACAACTAGCATTAAATTCTTTAAAATAAACAAAACAAAACTACATTGCGGCATTTGATGTAAGTTCTGAAATGTTAAAATATCATTAAATTTGCATTAAAAAAAAAAAAGGTAAGCGGTGTTATAGAGTGCACTGGGTGCCAAAAGTGACCTTTTTGACCCCATAACATAATATTAAAGTGACAAGGGATTCATTTTGCCACAATATAAATTTCTACATTTAGTTTATCTTAAATTTTAGTTCATATATTATTTTACAGATTAAATTTGTTTTAAAAATGATCAAATTATTTAATTACATCAAGAATTCCTTTTTTAAACATACCATTTAATAAGTAAAAATAAAAATATTTAATATACCTAATAACATTTACATAGGATATCAAATATTAAGAAATATTTACTTATAAAACTACTAGTGATATATTAATATATAATGCACGTTATTTTATTATATTGTATTCAATTGATGAAATGTTACGGTCAGCGGTAAAAATAAACATATTTAAACATAGGTACATTTTTTTATAAAATTTTCTTTATTTTTAATACGTCATTAATTTTTAACTTTTGTTTATTTTATAGAAAGCAATTTTTGATATTTTGATCATCCAAACATAAAAGTTAAATTATTATTATTAATAAATATTTTTAATTTAATTTTTACAATTTTTTTCTGGCTTTTTTAATAAAAATAATGTAGTTCAGACTATGTCAAGCATTTGGAGTACATTTTTGTGGTATTTTTTTTCGATATAGATATAATTTTTTTATACAGCTTTTATTAAATATCACATTTTAAAATTTAAATATCATAATTTTACAATAAGGAAGCTCCCATAAGTTCTATTTTAGATACTGAGCACATCTAGGAATATACATATTAGTTCTACAATAAATTATGTGATTTTTTTGTTGTATTTCACATTCTTATTCAGAAACGATCTATTATATTTGAATAGTTTCTTTATTCAATCATTTAAATTCCCACACATACTAAAAAAAAATATTATATTAATTAGTTATGGTTAGGTATACTCTATAGCTATACTCTATGTACATCATAATGGACTAATGATCAAGGTTCTATATTAAGGTTTTACAATTATGTATGTTTTGTTATTATTTTTAGATGTTCATATCAGGATATAGCCTATATTTTTCTTGTTTTGTAATTAATACGTAGATTAAACTATATTATGGATTAATTATACGATATACATTCCATTATTTATCAAAAATTGACTAATGGCCTATGCTCTATATTTAAGTGGACTTACTTATCGCAAATAACTATAATTTATCAATATTTCTTGTAAAATAGCAATGAATAAATCACCTTTCTTTATTTTCTATTAATAATAAATAAATAAGAAGATTCACAATCTGTAAAATTAAAGACACAATGCAAATTAAGTATGTAACTAAAGTAAACTTGATGTCATGATCAAAGAGAACATCTAGTGATATTATTTTTGAATATCATTATTATATTAAGTCCATATGGTTTTGGAAATTTTAAATCAGCTATTTAAATAGAAATCATACGTGCGTTTTCATTTAAATATTGTTACAATTTTTTTTTTTTTTAATAAATACATTTATAATGAGTTCACATTTAAGCATTGAAGTTTTTCCATGCAGATATGTATATGCGTAGTATATATATATATATATATATATATAATATTATACCATAATGTATTTAACATTTAATTCTAATAAAAATGTCCATTATTGTTAATATTATAATTTTTTATACGTTGAAATATTATAAACATAAAGACTTATTTTAATATATTTATGTAATTATAATATTGTGAATCTATTTATATTATATTCCTGTGATTCTATTGTATTGTCTTAAATACAGTAGAGAATAATGTAAGCTATCCTTATAGAAAGATGTTAACTCCCATCTCAGTTGCTCAAGATTGTATTTTTTATACAATGATTGTATTCAAATGTATTTCATAATTTAAAACAGTGACCTTTTATGTTATTTTAGCAAATTTATAATACATAAAAACTTCAGCATTAAAACAAATATTATACTACTATATATATATATATATTTATTTATTTATTTTAATAATAATGATATATTTTATATACGAAATGACGTTTTCAAATATAATCTTTTCAGAAAAAAAATATTTAACATTCTATATTACTAATATTAAAATTAATTAATTTTCCATGTATTATGTATTTAAATATATTCTAAAATATACTTAGTTATAAAGCCTATAGGCAATAAGTTATCTTCGTTCAGAATCGATTTGAGTATGCAATAATTTATCATTGAATTAAAATTGAACAAAATCATTTTTTAATTGTTTTCAAATAACAAACAGGTAGTTTTTATTCAAAAGTTAATGAATTTTAAAACGTTAACACTTTATCATATAAACGTATTTAAACGATTTTATAGATACATATATTTACGATTTTGTTTTTTATCTTTTCGGTTGTAAAATATAAGTTTATTTCATTATGGAATATCATTATGTTATTACGAATTAAATAAAAAGTAAATTACTTGGATAGTCCTCTTGTTAGTACTGAACTATAAAGCAACAATAGTGATCCAGGTCCCGGATCATCTTGAAACTAGACATAATTAAGAATAATTATTTTTTTTCAACAAATTATAACAAATTATGGAAAACCTAATTATTTAAGTTTTAAGAAATTCTTTAATACTATACTTCGAATTTAAAAAAAACCGTTCGTGATTTTTTTTTTTTTTGTAATGAACTGTATTTATTTTATTGGAAAATTATCATTTATTATAATTATATTTTCAAAAAAAAAAATAAAAAAAAAACTAAAAATTATTAACTTACCAAATGCAAATATCTTTTGAGGAAAATTTCTAAGTCTTGAATATTGGTTAACTCGAATAAGTGGAGCTATAATTAAGTATAATATAATTATAATTATATAATATACTTAATAGATAATTAAAAATTATATATATATTATGCTTTTATATATTAACATTTATAAATATGGGACATTTCTATAGACATTTTCGTTCATTTTTAAGAAATTAAGTTAATATTGGTATTATAATAATTATTGACATATCATTTATATTTTATACATAATATTAATAGACATATGTGACATTTATAAGAAAGTTGAAAATGTTAAGAGAGTTTCTAAATTAATTACTATGGACTAAAATAACACAAAATCATGTAAAATAGGTGTAATCGATAAAAAAATTAAATTTTGTAGATTACTTCCAATGGTAACTATATTGGTATTTTTAAATTAAAGTTAAAATTATAATTAGAAAATATGTCATGATAAATCCCAATTGTATACAAAATTTTTATTAATATTTCTCTGAATTCTTTAGATTTAGGCATTTAAATTGTTTTATTACTTTACTTCTTTTTGAAATTATTGTTAATTACTTCTAAGCAGTTATTTAGACAGATAATTATTACTCGTGACTATGAGCCTTGATGATTAAAAATATAAAATCTATCAACTGAAGCGCAAATAACAGACACCACTTTTTATCCAGAAGTCTAAAAGCCCTAAATCAATTAATGTATAATTTATACCATAATATATACATACATAAAGATATTGTTTTTATCACTCTACGATTATTTTCCTATATTATTTAATATTTCAGCAAGATTTTGCTTGAAGGTCAAATTTTTCCCATCCCTTAACTAAACTATGACCAGATTACATATTTTGAGTTAATTTTAAAAATAGATATAATACAATGTAATCTCCTTACTTTTTCGGTGACATTATCTTGGAAATAGTTTAACGAGTGTGGTACATAACTCTTTTCTTGCGGTAAACATACTACAACCTTTTCATTTTCTCCAATCTTCCACAGGATTTCGGTAATTGATTTACAAAGAGCATCTAGTTGCTGCTGTTTAGATGGTCTCATTATACATCTAGTAAGAAAACAATTTAAAAGTTAAACAATGTTATATCCAAATTTAATATCTGTTTAAATTGTACATAATATAATTTTATGATAAATACAAAATCATCATTATGCATGTATATTGTATATATAAATACAAATTAATTTGTATTAAGTTATAATTTCTCAGTTAAAAAAGTTTACATATATGTCATGAAAATTATAATTATAATTTACATAATATAGTACCTATAATATAAAAGTATTATTAAATATACTAGTTAAGTACTTTAAAAAATAGATTAAATAACTCGATGATAGAATTGAAGAATTAAAAGATTTTGTTATATTTATTTTTTTTTGCTATATGAAATATATTTACGAGTTATTGGTGTTTGTAAATAGTAAATTTTTGAGTATATATCCTTGTATTGCAGTCTGCATTCCTCTGGTACCATTTCTGCGTGCTCGTAAGCCGTACGATAGCTCTTTCTCAGGATCTCTAAACACAAACCCAGTACGCAACCATTCGCCTCTAGGTGGTGTGTCACATGCTCCAAATACAGTCAATCGTAATGCCTTAAAATATAACAAATAATACAATTTTAAATTTAAATATCTCTTTTGAAGTTCATGTTGATGGTATACATGTTTAGTTGTTCTGCAGACAATGTCACATGTTAATCCGATATTTATTTTTCCTAAGAAAGTTTTCGTTATGTAATTCAATTTTTAATCGTTTAGAATTAAAGCTTTATATATATTTTCAAACTGATATTTCATTATTTATCTATGTCCACATTATCATATATTCATATTTTAGTACCTATTAATTTAAAGAAATGTATTTTTATATTTAATATTTTGTTGTTCAAATTACTACCTATTCTGTTTTGTAAGGTGTTAAACAGCAAGTCCCATAAAAAAAAAAAAAAATTGATAGAATAAAGAGAAGGAATTTGTATAGTTATGTGTAAGTATAAAATAATTATTTCATTATTTGTTTATTTACAGCGGTGTCGTTTACTGATTTAATTTCATATTTGTGTTTTTGCCAAATTTGCTATGTTGAAAATTATTTACCTATAATTAATATATTAAATAGAGAGTTATTGTACTAATTATAATATGATCATATTATGATCATAATATTTATGGTACTAATAAATAAAATAAGGATCATTTATTGATCATTTCAAGTGTATTTTGCAAATAAAATATATTTTGAATACAGATCGATAAAAAGATTGATGCATAATCATTAATGTAAATTTTATTTGCAATTGTATTTTTATTTCAAAAACAAATAATTAAAACTAAAAAACAAGTAGTAAAATTAATGAATTTGTTTAAGTAATACAACTATATTTTTACTATACATATTAGAATGAACTACTAATGTTATAGTAATATTTTGTTACTTTAACAAAAAAAAAATTAAAAATTAAATATATTATAATTGTATTATTCTAGAATTAGAAATAATAGTAAGTGCTTATATAATTATAAAATAATAATATATCTTATTTTAGAATGATGAACATTAGTAAATTAAATTATATACTAAAGTAACAAATAGTGATCTAGATAAGTCACATGTTGACAATGAGTTGGGTACGTTAGATTATAAATGATTAGAATACTAATAAATGAGTTGTTATTTGTTAAATAATAACATAAATAATATTCTATTCATTGGTTAGGTATATACATTTAGTAAAGAATGTTTCATAAGGTACGAAATTTCGGAAATACGTGGGATGTTTTTGTTTGAAGGTTGTCAACCCTATTTTAATAATTTTTGTCATATATTATCACTCCGATCAGAAGGTAATTCATTTTTTTTTTTAATATTATACATAACTTACTTTTGCTTGTTCAACTGTTATTGGTTGCCCACCCGTAACTGGTTCCTTACTGTATTTGTATTGCTGATTTCTCGCATACATAACACGATCTAAAAACAATAAAATAAATTATGTTTGTTAGTATATATTCCTATAAAACTTCTTTTCAGCAAAATATTTTTAAAATATAACTAGAAAAATTTTAAAAACAGGATGCAATTTATTGTATTATTTACTGTCATCAATATCATAGATATTATATTAAATTAAAACACGAATAAATCATAATACATGTAACAAATATATGGATTATGTATTTACATCCTTGTATATGCGAAACTATTATAATTTAAAAACACCAACAAATATTTTCATTTTATTTTACCACATGTAACATAATTCAAAATAATTAGCAGAACAAACTATAAAATATATCTACATATTATAAGGTTTCTAAATTATAAAAACCAACAATATAATTGCTAATAATTATTGATGCATGTATATCACACGGAAGTAGCATAATATGCATACAATTTTAAAATAAATTTACCCTATTAGTAAATAGCAAATAGTAATTTATAATGTTATGTAAATTACATTTTTTTTCGACACGAGATACGAAAATAATTATTTTCATGGGGTGTCAATGTATCTAATTTATACTATTCGTCAACAAATTTGGATAATTCGTTGGTTTTTTATCATGATAATTATTGAAATAAGAATATATTATTTAGTTTTCATTTTAAACCTGTAAGTGAAAAATTATGTCCTTCTAAATTGATTTTAAACGAAATTGATTACAATGATTATTATAGTCATCACTCATCATTAATCCATTAGTTATAATATACAATTGTAAAATGTTTGTCTATTATATAATGCGTCTATCTATATGGAACTATTCTAGTTTTTAAATTAATATCAAAATGTTTGGGAAAAATATATTGTAAAACCAATATATTTCTTTTTCTTGCAAAATATAAAATTAATTTTGAAATATTATAAAAGTTTGTTTTTATTTGAGAGCGAATTTTGTTCAATATAGAGGATTAATTTAATCTCAGTTTCATACACAAAGATATGTAAAAAGTTTTTCTGGGTTAGTGTAATATGAAATTAATTTAGATTAAACCATTAAAAATACCAGATTGTCACAAACTAAATCTACCACTAAGAATTTTTAAACACGTTTTAAATATGTAAATATTTATACCAAAAAAATTAATAAACTCTTGTATGGTTCAAGTAAATTAAGATGATTAAATATATTTATTAGAAAATATAAATATATCATACAACACATTCATCGGTCAATAATGTACATAAATCATTAATTATTATTCTGATCTTTGTTTTAATAATCGGTTCAACATTTATATAACCCAAGAAATATTTTTTCCGTATACAAGTTACCTATAATATAAATAGCCGAAAACTCGGAGAATATATTTTACTTTTACGAGCAAGTTTATATTAAATGCAGTAATCTCATCATAATGAGATATGACTCGATAAATGTAAAAAAAAAGTGACCATACAATGGCGACACTTAATAAATAATTATTTAATATTTTTTTCCTTCAAATTTAATTTTATAGTATATTATTTACTATAGAATATATTATCTACATATTAACTATTGCCAAATAGTTCTCGATCTCATTACACCTACATATTATGATTAATTACTATTTATACTGAAAAGTTACTACTTATAACAACATTATATTTGCATGTACATGTATGATTTTAGTCATTATCATTATAGTAAACCATTATTTTTGTTACGTACTTGAGTACATAATCGCGATAAACCAAATATTACACATACAACATGATGAGAAATTTCAATTTTTAATGTACCCAGAAGTGATAATATATTTTGTACATAGTAAAACATAAATGGACGAAAATTAATATTTATGTTTATAAATGCAATTTATTCTAAAACATTATAGTATCAGAAATTATTGTTTACATATTTTATCTAAGCGTAGTCGCTTTACTATATACATAAAAATAATACTACAGTATACTATATATTTCATCATAGTGAGAGTTAAACCCCTGTTACGTAAATCTTGTAGCTTATATTATTTTTATAATGATATAAAAATATTCAAAATTTATAACGTATATATTCCCTTTATCATAACAATAGTTAGTATTTATATGTGAAAATATCCGTGTTTAATATTAATTACTTGTTGTCGAATGATTCACCAAGCATGTGTCTACCATATATTTTAATTTTTTAATTATCCGCATATAATAATGAACTTATTAAAACTCTGATTTTTGTAAGTTTTTCATTATATTTTCACCATATTTTGGGATATTTCAATTTTTTTCTTTGCTATTTAAGGAGTGTTCTGTGTTGATATAATTTTATTTTTTCAGAAGATATAATCAATCTTTTTTATTGCAAATCCTAAGTAGATTATTTCCTTGAATATGTTGTTTTATTTAAATTCATATTCAAACGAGTATTTTATAATTCATTTAATTTATATTCGATTTCTATATAAAATATAATAGATTTAATTAAACCAATAACGACGAAAAAATATCATATATTTTAGTCTAGTACCGCCTACTCACCAACTTATAATATTAAAAAAAAGGCTTTTGTTGTTTGGAAAAAAATTGTTTTAGTAACCTAATTACCTATGCAAAAAAAATTAAAAATATCAGAATTTTATAAATTTCTAATAAAAAAAGTGAGAATATGCATACTAGATTAATCACCTTGTTTAAATGAATGTAACACCATATGTGTGCTGTAAATGAATATCATAAATAACAAAATTTCTAAATTCATATATAATTAAAGCGGGAATAATTATCCAATTAATAATAAAAAAAAAAAACCCCAATAAATAAATAGTTGTTACAACATACTATTTATTTAATATTTATAAATTATAAATCACCGAAAGAGATTTAAAATCCGTATTACAGGTTAAATTTTTTTTTTTTAAATATCTGATATAAATTTTCATAATTTTATAGGCTGCATTAAAGTTGAGTCTCCAATTTTATAGTCAAATTGAGACTAGCTTATCGTAGTAGTAAATCTATCCTTGTTGTATATAGTTGTTCGTTTTTCATGATAATTTAAACTAATCAGTTAATCCAATCATATCTTGATTATAAAAATAAAAAAATAATTTAAAAAAAAAGTTTTTGGGTTCTTATTTTTAAATCTACACATGGTTGAAGATTTTTTTCGGCTCAAACTAATACTAATTTGCCAGAAAACAGATTAATAGAAGAGTTTATGGTGTATTTTGAAAAAAAAGTATATCCGTGGATGCTCTTTTTCTTTCAAAAACATGGGCTAAACAATAATTTTCAATTAAAGCTACAAATAGTTATAAATTATTTTGCTCAAAATAAAATATTTAATTTTGTTCAAATAATTCAACTGCAGAGGTTGCCGCTTATTAAAATCATGGTTAATGTAATGAATCATTTATTGTCATCGAAAAGTATAAGTACGGGTCAGATGTAAACTATATGTAAATGATGTCAGTTATTGATATCAATACGTCGCTAAATGTTATCAGTTAGAGGTCATAAAATTATCATTATGTACGAGATTTTTAAAACTGATTGAAAATCGATGAAAATATACCTACTACATCAAATTTTACCAAAGAATATATTTTACATGCTTTATTATAAACAAATTAACCTGAAAAAATTGAAAATGAAGTGATTAAACTTGAGCCACAAACAGATACTAAAAAGCATCTAATGAGTGCATCAAAGATCGTCAAATTTTAAATTACATTACAAATACGAACATTTTATAAATGATTTTTTAACGGTAGAAAAAACATAAATCAATAAAAAATATTTTTCAAGTTAATATAGTAGTTAATATTTATTTACATTTTATTTTATTTATTTTTAACAATTTTAAATTTAGTAATATGCACTTTGATTAGTAATAAATAATAGTATTTTTAAATAACTATGTGTTTTATGTATTTTAAATTTTATGTAATACTACATATTTATTTATTTTTTTTTATTTAACTTATGTTTTGTTATTTTTTAACTTTCGTTTAGTGTTATCAATTGGATTATGTTATCAGTTATATTCCGTATCAAAGTGATTACATTAACGGCGACCTCTGTATAAATACATTTGTTGATGTATTTTAATAATTTGAATATGAGACATAGATAAATTTTCGAAATTTCAATATGCTCCGAAGAAGAGAATTATCAGAAAAAGAAAATTTTTTAAAAATAAAAATACAATATTATGATAATAACAAATTAACGCGATATCAATTTTTCAAGAAAGTTTTTCAAACATTTTTGACAATGAATAATAAATAATAAAATAATGTTATTATACTAATTGTTAATTTAAATTAATAATAATCAAAGTATTTTTATTAATATATGTTAAGTAAGATCGTAGTTATTACAGTCCTAAGTCGGTAAAAATAAGAACAAAAATACTATTTTATATACATTTTTAAAATTCAACAATACGGATTATTCGGAAATTCAATAAGTACAACAAAAGAATGTACGGATTAATACCTAATATTTTATAACACTGAGTAGGTGTTACAATTGTTATGTATAATAAATAGTTTAATATGAATGCATAATTTTAAATTTTAATATAAAATTAAAATATATTTTCAAATTTAATTATATTTACTAGTTTAGATTATGTAGTTATCACTTGACAGAAAAGACATCTTTACTTTAATAATATTAATAACTGAATTAGTATAAATTGAAAATAATCTGTAAAATTAAATTTTCAATGTTGTTGTTTCATTTGAACTAGTGGTTCCCAAACTCTTCTATTCTTCTCCTCTGAAGATTTTCAAAATTTTCCGTTTTCTTTTATAAATTGAAAAATTGATCACTTTTTTATATACTTAACTATACAATATTCGAAATGAGTACTTTTTCATTGATGATAATAATTATAAATTATAAATAATAATAAATAATAGAATACAATATAATAAAATTAACAATTTATGTAAAGGCTAACAACATTTAATACGATGCATATTAACCTTAGCAAATATAATCAGTTTTTAGCAACTAAACACTCTTAATCTTT